AATCACTACACCAAACATACAACATAGAGCCACTGAACATACGCATACACACACTAGCCAAACGAACATGGGACCGCATACAACACATAGACAACACAAACTACGACGACATCATAAACAAACACAGAAACACACAAACAAACCACCCATGGTGGCCCAAGACACTCCCGCTGATTACCGGAGATCCCCCAGAACCCCTCTATGCGAGCTAAATGTCTGGGGTGGTGAAAGGCCTCCGACCTGCAGGCATACGTGCACGCAGGCCGAAGGATGTTTCCCCACCCGCACAGAAAGCTCACCTTTTTGTACATAAATATATATTTTGTTCGTTTTTACCTGTTTACTTAATTAAACCCAGCGCACTAACCTTTCACGCGAAAAGGGATCACGGGACCACTCACACACACGCACAACGCTGACGTCTGTGTTGTGTTTACAACGTTTACAACTCCAACTACAGTCTCCAATACCCAGCCATACCCGTGGGCACTCACACCCACACAGTCACTCCATAAAGAGATAAGACACCAGACTAACATAGTAGATGGGCAACCTAACCATTTACTATAGCACCGACCGCGAGTGGCCAGCGCGGCCCTCCCAACCCATCCCGCGGCCAGGGTGCCAGGGAAGCGCCAGACCGTGCCCTGTGTGACGTCACCAGCCGCAGAGATTTCCCGCGGCTGCCGGCAAGTGGGGGTGCAGCGATCACCGAACTACGCGACACGGTTGCGCAACTGAAGGAGGAGATGAACAAAATGAACAAGGTGATGTTGATTCTCACAGAGGGTGGCCCGGGCCTCAAAGCTGGCACACTTTCTGAATTAAAGACCACGCCCCCCTCCCTCCCCGGGAGCCAGCCGAGGCATTCGTCCCTCACCCTCAGGCAGGGATGACCGCAGGCCAGGCGGGGGAATCCCCCGCACAACCATGTGACAGAAATGACGTCACGCCAGCTGTCCAAGGCGACGTAAATGTGCTTGAAATTCTAAAGGAACTGAAAGCTCTGAAAGAACAAAACAACAACTTAATCAATGAAATAACGACGCTGAGACAGGACATGGAAAAAATGAAAAGTGACTGTCACTGCCGTGATACTAGTGTTACCATTAGTGATAAAAAAAACGAACGAGGAGAATCGATGTCAAACCGACAGTGCTGATAACCAGAGTGGGCGTGTCAGCGTTGACAGCCGCCACGAACAATACCAGGATCTCTGTGACATCGAGTCCAGTAAAGCAACCCCCCCCCCCCCCCCCCAGGTGCATCTGGCACAACAACCGAAAGGCCTGTGCTGAGAAGTGAAACAAAGCTAAGACCAAATGTTTGAAATGGTTAAAAGTACTTTTAAGTTTAAGATTACCATCTGTAATGAAATCCACAATCATAAAGCTATACGTTTCTTATGTCAATCTATAATTCGTAATATTCAAGGATATTTCAGCATGAGGTACATATTGCCTAATAGAGCACTATTCACATATGGATAAACGCACAATTAAATCTATATCATGGAACATGCATAGTATAAAGCCTAGGCTGAATGACCTAGAGTTTTATATCCGTAAATATAATACTGATGTTATTTGCGTGCAAGAACCTTTTACTGCTGCTGCTAAGATGAAGATAGCACCTGCAATTCAGGGATATTATTCATATGTGAATACAGCCATGACTGGATTGTTGACATATGTGAAGGTAACACTGCCACATAAATTAGTTAAAAAATCTGAGAACACTGATGTTCAATTACATCACTTAAAAATTCAGACTGCCACTGGGTATTTTTCACTGTATAATGTATATGCCAGATACTCCAAATTTCTGGCTAGTTCTCTCCCCAATTTTCGCAACCAAAGCACGTTATGTATGGGCGACCTCAATGCAAGGCATCCACACTTTGGAGACAACCAACGTAATAGTAATGGGGAAGAATTCAAACATTTTATCAGTAGTAGATCATTAACAGTATATGACACAGAAACAGAGACTCATTTGGGAGGTGGCAGGTTAGACTATGTATTTGGCAAGACTTTAGTTCATGGTAATGTCTGTACCTCACTGGTGAGAGAGCTAGTAAGTGACCACTTTGCAACATGAACAGACTATACTGTAGACAGCGACTCAGCCCCTAAATCACCTAGGCTCAGAATAATCATACCACCGGGTCTGGAGCATCACTTCAAGGCACGGGTCTATGACTGGTATAACACCTATGAAGTAACAACTGTTGTGGGAGGCATACTTAGTCCCATGCTATTTAATATCCTAATGCATAGATTACTGGGCGATATACCACTTGCAGGCAATGACTCCATTATTTGCTATGCCGATGACATCTGCATTAAATCCTCATCTGAGGAAAGAATGCAAGAGATTCTTGATATACTTTCTGCAAGGGCTACTGAGTGTGGCTTAATAATCTCAACTGAAAAAACCAAGGCACTTAACCCAAAGACAATCCCTCTGCCAAGGTTTCATAGACGTTGAGCTAGATCTCTGCCACCAATACAGATACCTCGGGGTGATTGTTAATGATTCAGAATCAGAAACCTGAAGAAAAGGCTATGGGAGCGGCTGAAGCCACTTAGGATACTTGTCAGCAAAGACTATGGTATTAATGTCAATATTGCGACTCTTCTACTTGTCATACATAAGGTCGGTGACTCTTCTACTTGTCATACATAAAGTCGGTCATAGATTACCATGCATTGCACCTAGTATTGTTCAAGGAATCAGAGTTGACTAGTTTAGAAAGTGTACAAAATGAAGCCATGAGGATCATTCTTGGTGCCCCTAGAACAAAAAGGATTGTGAATATGAGAACAGAACTTAATTTGCCTTCTCTTTATGAAAGAATATTATACATAAATACCACATTTAGTGTCAAATCAATTAGAGAACCCCTCCACTGTACAGAGTTCCAAAGACAACTAATACACAGAATAGAAGAGCTAACTTTGAATGACAACACCGATTCATTCTCAAATCCATGGGTACAAGTAACATGTAAACACTTAGCTCAGCTGAACATACCCATAACTAAGACCCTACATGGACGTTCTGTACCACCGTGGAAAATGTCTGACCTAAGTGTATACTCATGGCCACCGAATTTCTATTGAATCAAGGCTCAGGGGTCATTTTCTGTGATTCACAGAGTGCTATCCAGGCTCTGAACACTCTAGACAAAGGTGCGGGAAATATTGCAAATGACATCAGGATAAACGTGTATCGTGAAAAAGAACGAGGCCATAATATACGTTTTGTGTGGATCCCATCGCATGTTGGAATCCCTAGGCATGATTATGCTGATCGCCTAGCAAAGTCAGCATGTGACAATCAAAGTGTGGATATAGATCTTGGGTTACCTCTATCTAGGATTTTATACATCATTAAAGCTTCCTTCAAAGAGGACTTGACTGAGTTAATTAATTCTCAACGCCCCGAAAGCTGCAGCATAAAGCACTATGACCGGTTTAGGCAAGATTCATTCATTTATGGTTTTTATAAACAAGAACAAGACAGTGTGATGTGACTGCAAGAATAGGCTTGGATATAGAATGTATTGGGAGGTCAGTACAGCTTGTAATGTCGAAGCAACTAAGTGTAAATTGTGTGATGAAGAATATAGGCGAACACTTATACATTATATCTCAGAGTGCCATGTGTTACAGCCTTTCAGACCACCTAGCATGAGGTACGGAGAACTATGTAAATATTTCATATCATCTGATCCCTTAGAAGATATAATTGTATCCTAAATTTGGAATGTAGTATCACATGACTGCATATCAAATACGTTAATGTTTTTCCACGCCCAAGCTATATGCCGGCGTGGCAGATGAGTAGTTAAAGGACTGTTCAATTGTTTCCCTTCCTTGATCTGACAAAATACTGTACTTATCATAACAATGTTATAGGATAATATCCAAATGTAATACCATTATGTAATGTTATGACCATGCATTAAATGCACCACAGCTTGCCCACGCCTGTGCAGTTAGACAGAGTGGCAAATAAAGGACTAAACTAAACCGGGGCTGCAGCCTATACTAGCCTATAGGATAATCCGGCCCTGGGGCCGGATACTCATAACTACCCGTCAGTTACAAGGCCGAGGACGTTGTAACCGCTTTACAACATCGTACCTTCCGATCTCCTTACTACATTGTAACCCAACCATACTCAAAAAATAATTACGATGTAGTAAGCACATTGTAAGGCCCGTGTTTACATTGTAAGTTAATTCCATTGACTACCAAGAGAGGGCAGACCAGTAGTCGATTGACCAATCAGCAGTCAGCCTGCTACACGTAACAACCAATGGAAAGCCATGGTTGTCTTATTGCCACGCCCCCAACGGTCACCAACTCCATGGAAGGCCCAGCGACTGTCTCCCCGAGTAATATTTTTGAAAGACTTATTTCCTCTACTTTTAACAATATGTTTACAAGGTCTCACATGTGACTTACATACATTTTTTCGGAAGTATAAGGCAAAAAATCATAATTTTATGCGAAAGTAAATTGATTTTAACATACTTACGGAAGAGTCACTTATTATCGGAATAATAATTCTTAAAAGGATTGTTTAGTTGGATATTTGGCATCAAAGAAGGTTATAGTAAAACAAATCTAGGAAATCTGTGATATCGCAATAATTGCTTATCCTCTCCATAGCGTGAAACTAATGATTCCCTCTAATAATGACTTTCGCGCTGCAGTGCTCGGTCATGAGGATGAGCAGCTACCAAAACATTGTTGTGTGTCGTCTGTCGTCTGTCAACTCAATTTACAGTCAATTTATATTTGATTCAAAATAACGATAATGCATAGAAAACAGAGAGTATGCTAGACAATTGAAATTCCCCGGTATTAAACATGGAAAAGGCATGTTACTGTCAAATAAAGGTTTTTGTCGACTAAGTAATCGGGATATAAACCGTAAGGCCTCTTTCACACGAGACGATTTTAATCGTGACGGGAAAAATCGTCTTGCCAGTGGCACACAGTAGGCTATGAGAGCTTTCACACGACACGATCACGGGACGGGAGCCGTGTTGCGCCCGTGAGCACTCACTACAACACACGGTCGTCGTCCCGTGCCCGTGCGTCAGTGGTGTACAGCATCCTATGAGAGCTTTCACATGGGACGATTTTAGTCGTCTCCTTGCGTCTGTGGCGTGAGGTTGTGTGCGCAACGATGGGCGAGGAGATTGACACTGAACGGCTAATTTCTTTGGTGCAAGAGAGGCCTGTTTTGTGGGACAAGACAGAGGACATATACAAAGACAGGAATGCTACAAAGAATGCATGGAAAGAAGTTTGTATGGAACTGAAACCTGACTTTGAAGAATTGGAGGACAGAGAGAAAAATACATTTGGTAAGTAGTTTTATTCGATAACATAGCATTTCATTCGTATCGATACAATTGTGTTACTTGTTTACTTGCGTTACTTATTACAATAGCACTAATAGACATTCACTATATGTAATGCATTTTAGTATTATCATTTAGAATTTAGCCATTTGCCAAGGGACAGCTCCAGCGTTAGAATTTAAGTAGGTGCACATTACATTTCTTATATTGTTTGCTGATAGGCCCCCTCTAAGTTGTGTCCCCTGTTGTAAATCCTGCAAGCCTATAATTGTAGTTGTATCTTCATGACAAAATCCATCCCTGTCACGAACGAAGTTATGGAGAAGAACACAGGCTTTGACAATATCAACAGCGAAATCGACCTGAACATTAAGAGGCCGATGTAAGATTCGCCACTTATTGGTCAAAATGCCGAAAGAGCACTCAACATAACGACGAGCTCGGCTCAAATGGTAGTTAAATATCCTTTTTTCCTTAGTAAGGTTCGACCCCCCAAAAGGGCGCAACAGATGATTATGTAAGGCAAATGCTTCATCGCCCAAGAAAAAATATGGAACTTTTGCACTATCCATACCTGTGCCGGGCAGAACTTTCTCGTCAGGCAGTAGTTGATCGTGTGTTTCAATTGACGTCCACAGTCTGGTTCGTTTGAAAATTGATGAATCACAATCCTTCCCAAAACTGCCAATATCAACGTATGTGAACCGATATTGAGAATCTGCTATTGCCATCAAAACTACAGAATAGTACTCTTTATAATTGTAGAACATGGAGCCACTTTTATAGGGGCAAATAATTCTAATATGTTTTCCGTCTACTGCACCGATACAGTGAGGAAAATTTGCAACTTTTTCAAAATGCAATGCTATCTTTTCCCACTGTTCTTTTGTGGGAACAGGCATGCATTCTGAGAGCATGACTTCCCAGATAGCTTGACATACAGCTCTCACGAGTAGGCTTGCTGTGGAAATGCCAATTCTGAACGTGTAGTGCAGATCAGTCAGTGTACACACACTTGCCAAGTACCTGCAATAGAAAAATGTCACAATTTAACATGTTTTGTATGTATACTTATATGCTATATGTGTTTACTTTTAAGCTTTCATGTTTACATATATGTATACATGTGTGTGTGTGTGTGTGTGTGTGTGTGTGTGTGTGTGTGTGTTGGAGAATAATTTTAGATAATAAAATAATTTTTGTTGAGACACTTGATATAAAAGTAATACACGCCCTATTATTTACAGGAAAAGATGTCATGAAAAGGTGGACGAACGTTCGAGACTGCTACGCCAAATTTAACAAGAAAACAAAAGAAGCAAAAAAATCAGGAGCAGGTGCTTGCAAGGTGAAATCTTATATCTACAGCAAGGAACTACAATTTCTATCAAAACTATATGAAGAACGAGACACTCAGGACAGCTTTGATGGTCCAGGAACATGTGAGGAAGAACATGATAGAGGCGCTTCTTCCGATCCATTACCTAGTCGAAAATCGTCTAGCGGAGCTAGCGACGTAGGGCGAAAACGGAGCCGCAAACTAGATCCATTTGAAGAGCAAATGCTAAAGATTATGGAGGATGATGCGAAAAATAGGCACATGTCATTTTTCAGAAGTGTTTTGCCATCACTGGAGAAGTTTGACGATGACGAAGTACTTAAATTTCAGATGGATGTTCTACAGAGCATATCTAAAATTAAGGAAGGAAAACTTAGGAAAACAACCACTCATAACGTCCTCATGTTTTCTCCTTCCGGTGGTTCTCCGTATCCGACATTTTGGCAGCATCAATCCTACCCTCCCCATACTAGTCTGCCGCCTCCTGCCCCGCATCACCATTCTCAAACATCCCGGTTCCCCAATGCAGCTCAACCCGGCCACGTTTCAGGCGACTTCCAGGGCTATGAGCAGCAGATGTCTTCAAGCTACGCCGACAATGCAGTATCACCAACTCCAACACAGTTTTCAAACGATTCTATAGATTTTACAAGCTAAGAACACATCAGTTGCATTAACATGTGCTACATATATGTTACCCAATAAAGTAGATAACTCTAAAACTATTTCACTTACCTCAATGTTATAGCTAACATCTCTTCAGGCTTAATGCAGTCTCTCATGTTTGTATCCTGGCGTTGCAGAACTTCTTTTAAACAACGATTCAGCTCATCAAATGATGAAATGCTCATCCTGAAGTAATTGAAAAATTTTGATTCGTCTTCTCTTAGTTCAGTAAATAAGGTGTGAAAGGAACTTAATTCGTCTCTTTTTTGATTAATGGGATGTACCCAACAGGAACGCTTCCTTTGTCGTCGCCGTCTCCAGGCGATTCAAAACACACAACGCAATAACGCGTGACCTCTCCATGTCAAGTGCAAGTGCAAACTGACACTGGGCACCGTGGGAAGGTGTCACGGCACGATTAAAACCGTCTCGTGTGAAAGGAGCAAACCGTCTCGTGTGAAAGGAGCATATCACGGACGATTTTTCCCGTCACGATTAAAATCGTCTCGTGTGAAAGAGGCCTTATATATCCGGTTTGAAACCCTTACAAGAGCTCCCGAGCAGTTGTAACTTACAAGGTACTTTACAATGAGTGACGTCATAACATGGCGGCTACTTTTGTTTCGAGTATGGCCCCCGGAGGAGTTACAACATTGTAACTGCTCCGATGTGAGATACAACATTGTCAACTGTTTTGAGTATCCCGCCCCTGGCCATGTGCCATGTGCCGGCCTCGAGCTGTGAAGAAGACATACTCTTTATTTCTAATTTTCAGTTTAATCTCAAATAGTTAATTTCTTTTGTTCCATAAATCAAATGTGAAGTAGTTTATGACTATTAATTATATAATTACAGTGGAATGTTCTTTCTTACCTCGGATATTTCACGATAATGAAATAAACTTTTAGGCTGTTTTTAGGCTCTTCTTTGATCTCTCCAAAGATAGTATACGAAAGATAGGTAAGACCGTATGAAATTAATAGAAATCGGTGTTCGCACTTTGTTGCCAGATGTCACCAGAATAACGCCATCTATTGGCGTAGTCCAATAGTACATGTGACGTCATTACATTAGCCATGACGTCATGAGTTTTTCTGCCAGACCTATATCCGTAATCAAATGATACATGGAACGTCATTATAGCAGCAATGATGTAACGTGTTCGATTTTGATTTATGTATTTTTCACAAGCTTCATGGATAAAACTATGTTTATGAAGTTTTTTTCCCTCAATAATTGTGAACTTTATATGTAATATTAGTTTTGATAATATTCCCAAACCATGGTATCAACATTCTGAGCATTCTTAGTGTATAATAACTAAGTGAATGGAGAGAGAGAGAGAGAGAGAGAGAGAGAGAGAGAGAGAGAGAGAGAGAGAGAGAGAGAGAGAGAGAGAGAGAGAGAGAGAGAGAGGCAGAGAGAGAGAAACCTAGGTAAAAAAAATATAATTTTATATATTACCAGTGTAATACCTTTTTTTAATGAGAATATAAATATCCTAAAACAGTATTGTAAAAAATACCTTTGCATCAGTTTGGATAGTAAAAATCAATGGTATGGATTGCTTTTATTATAATAAAAATACTGTACCTATTATCAACATATAAACATGACATGCATATGCCATAAAAACACATGCAAAATAAGTAAAAAATATATATAAACAAAAATAATTTAGAATCATGCAAGGACAAGACAAAAAACAATGAGAAAACAACAAATAATGAAGAGGAGCATGCAGTCCAATAATGCACATTAGAAAAAAAATGGTCAGAAAATAAAACAATAATGCAGAAACAGTTAAGCAACATAACATAAAAACGAACACACAGACATTATGTTATATTTCATGTAAACATGAAACAGAAATTACAAAAAAATACAAAAAAAACATAAAATAACATGCTATTTTTGTTAGAAGTAAAGACAAAACCAAATAAAAATGTTAAAAAACAAAGCAAACGGAACCCAAACTCAAACAAAAACAGAAACTCAAAAGTAACAAATAAAAAACAATAAAGACAAACACAAAAGGAAACTGAAAGAAACAAAAAACAGATAAAAAACATGCTAGTGATGAATTACCTTTTGAAGTTTTCTGTTTTTCTTTGTATGTAGATGACTGCTCTCTATGCTCTTTCTTTTTCTTAAGTTTCTGTTAAATATTTTAATATGATGGTGAATTCTCATGGTGAGGAAAATATTAATGAATTTTTCTTCTACTCCACTACAAAGATTTAAACCAAATTGAATTTTGTTTAATTCTATTGCTAAATTATATTTTAATTTATCTTTATACATATAATCATTAATTTTTGACATAAATGTTTATTCAAAATCTGTTACTATATCAATAATGTTAAGTTTAGGAAACGTTAAATATCTATATTCATCAAGTGCTTTGGCATTTAAAAATATATCAGTATTATCTGAATAATCTTTATGAGATTGAATTAACTGCTGTCTGCAATTGTCACAAGTAGATGCGGGACGGACAAACTGACCACCCAAATAAAACTAGGACAGGCTGACCACCTAAAAAAACGGTTAGAACCCCCCCCCCCCCCCCCCCCCCGGACTTCCGGTCATGTAACGTACAGGAAACCCCCCCCCCCCCCCCTCTTCCGGTCGTGTAACGTACTTATGTGACCTACTTATGCGGTCAGGTATAACCCCTAAACATGTTATAACAGTTCAAAACAAAAAGTTTTTTTGAGGGATGTCTATCTGGAAGAGGAGGAAGGAGGAGGAGAAGGAGACTTCCCCCCCACTGTAACATAATCCCGTGCGACAGTCTCTCCATCTGTCAGGGTGTTAACTCATGCCAAAAACACTAAATAATCATCGTTTTCTCTCCCGACATACGCCTGCAGGAGGTACAGATAATCATATACAAATTCCCGTCCCCCCTCCCTGTAACATAATCCCGTGCGACAGCCTCTCTATCTGTCGCCTGCAGGAGTTACAGATAATCATATACAAATTCCCGAGCCCCCCGTGCGACAGCCTCTCTATCTGTCAGGGTGTCAACTCATGCCAAAACCACTAAATAGTCCCCCCCCCCCCCCCCACACACACACACACATACACACACACACACACACACACACACACACACACACACACACACACACACACACACACACACACACACACACACACACACACACACACACACTATGTGTTATAACAGTTAAACACAAAAAGGTTTTTCAGAGCCCATTTTCCTCTCAATCAAAGGATCATAAAACTAAAACAGGTATTCATTTTTTTTTTATTATGGAGACATCCAGAAATCTACATCAATTGCGGCTGCTATTTGACTATCTTCAGGCATATTTTGAGTCAAGATTCCCGGATTTTTATTGAGTTTGAGTCTTCTCCGTCTATTGCGCTTAACAGGTGTAATAATAGCACAACCGCTGTCCACTGGGGCAATCGCTTGCTCTTCACCGTCGGCGGACCTCCCCGGTTCCTCTGCAGCCTCCTGCAGATTAATTGGGGAAGCCAACGGAGTCGACGTACGAACTATGGCAGATGATCTGCTCAACCCTTTGACCGCCATCGCAGGATCATACGCAGGCGATCGAGGACTGAGCATATGTGCGTTATTCAATTGGTGATTTTCGTTCGAAGGTCCTCCCTCGTTTTGCTTCACCAAATCCTCATATAACATCGTAGTCTCCCCTTCTTCGCTTCCACGTCGATTCGGGGAGCGTATGTCCACAGTTGTCGTAGTCTCCCCTTCTTCGCTTGCACGCGGATTCGGGGAGCGTATGTCCACAGTTGTGTTAGGTTTAGCTGTTGTTGGCAACCTTCTTTTCTTGGAAGGTTGCACCTCTGTTCCTCCTCCTATTATATAAACGGCCATCTCACCATCATTTCCTAGATCTGTAATACATATATAATCAATCAGATTCCAAAAGAGTAATCACAACTGCAAATAACACACACACACACACACACACACACACACACACACACACACACACACACACACACACACACACACACACACACACACACATACACACACACACAAGTCTTTAACTAAAAATAACAATATACTCACTTTTAACAGCTTCACAACTGCGTTCGTCGTGGTTAAACACAAAATAGACCTTGGGGATCATATTCACCGACTTCGCTGTAATATAAAATCAATACAATTACACATCTTCATATATTCGACATAACCAAAGATATATATTCATTTATATCAATAAAAAGACACAACACACGCATATTATAATTATAACATTGAGAGATATAAAATTCATAACAAAAATACTTACCAAGGTTGGAAACTGAAATACAGAAAAAGAGAGGTCTTAAATTTTTGCATACACAAGTATCTTAGAATAAAGTTTCATATCAACACATTTCTACAAACACCATCGTAATATTAACCAGTTAAAGACTTATGAGGTACAACTCCCGCATATTTTAATTATAACACTGCGGTTCAGATATGGAGTTCATAACTTACCAAGGTTGGAACCTGAAAATACAGAAAAGAGAGGCTTTTAGGTTTTGTATATCAACACATTTTGTAAATCATACAAACACGAAAATATTAGCAGTTAAAGCCATATGAGGTACAAACACAGAAACCACAACAAAAAAAAAACTTGGAAATTTTCTTACCGAAACACAAAAGTTCGTTGTTATAAGCAGCCATGTTGATGATTTATGCTTCTTCCAAGCACTGTATCTTCTCCGGTTTGAAAACCGGGTACTTATACACCAGGATCGCCGGCCCCTCCATTTGTGTCAACCAATCAGACGCGCCTACAACCCCCCCCCCTCCCCCCCCCCCTCGTCCTCACCCTACAAACCCATACCACCACAGTATAATTTCCTACATTCTGACCTACTTATCATTCGATCGCAAAATAATCTTTCGCACCTAGGCATTTCAAAATGTTTATATAAAAACCGTATAACCTTCTTATCATTGTATCTAAAGTCATTTGCTGAAAAATATCTGCATAATATTTGCCCAATGTTTTCCATTCCGTATAAATTAATGTTATACATAACAAAAATAACATACGCACCGCAGGTTAAACTATCAAGGCTTTGTAATGATCTACCAATGTTTAAAAAACTCTTTTCGGAATACTGGTCGATAAATGCTTGCAACCACGGAGAATAGATGTGAGGTAGAACTCCATAAGAATCAAAATATGCAATGCAAGATTTTCCATTAATAATTAAAACGTAATGCCCCATTATTGACGGTCTGTGACGAGATGTAAGAATGTTAACCACAAAAAACTCATTATATCCATCTCTTTTCTTTCTTACTGGTAATCGATCTGCTAAAAAACACCCTCGTAAAACATACCCGCTCCTAAGAAACTGCGAACAGATATCATTTACCTCATAACAGTTCATTATGCTCTGATATCTGTAACCACTCTGCGTTCGTTATCGATATAAAGCACTCCCTGTGTATCTCCAACAAGGAATAAAACAATGTTCGAATCATGAGGCTGTGCCAACTCAACTCCTATCCTGAGACTTCCAGAATTTTCAATGGCTATGGCATCCTGCAGTTTTTCAGGCTGCAAATCCATAACAGCAATCATTTTACCGTTTACAAATCCATTTCGATCGAGCGAATGAGACTTTTCTAGACCCAGTGCATTCAGCGAATGATAATACAAGTCTGAACATTGCGAGGGGAAATTCGTGCTTATATTGTACACAGAGGTGTTATTAACGGTGACAAAGAGTTTGCTCAGATGATTATGTCCGAAATGTAGAGGATTCATTGTATAGTCCCCTGCGTAAGCTCTCATGTCGACCATAAACAAAAACAATTTTTCAGGAATGGTCGAGCCCCACGGCATGTCAATAGCAAGCTGTGTCTGCCGACTTGCCATGACATATGTCTTGTAGAGGGTCTTATTAAACACATAACTGAGAGGGTTGTGTTGCAAAGATCTACCGAGTGCCTCTCTTGCAGAATCTCTAGGTTTCAACGTAGTAAGATGAAGCTTGCAGGTATCAATGTTCACCACCGGATTATGTGCTGAAGTTCCAGGTGTTGTGTTGACAACAAATTTGTCGGCAGCAAACTCGAGACGTATTCTCATTGATACATTATCCAAAAGATACATATCCATTGTTGCCACATCCATCAATAATGGAGCCATAAAATGAAATCCGTGAGCTTTTACACCGTTCCCAATATTTTTCTCGTGGTCGGCGGCACCTTCGAAATAACTGTCTGCAAAGTTTTGCGGTATAAGAGAAGGCTCGTAATATTGCATATTTCTCCCCAGAGTTTCTTTCAGCGACAGCGACATACCCGTTACTAAACGCACATAGGATGAAAAATTATATAAAGGATTTTGTTCAACCTGTTGCCCGTTAAAGTACACAGATACAGACTTAATGAGAGAGTGCATAGCAGAATTACATAATTCCGCATGATCGCCATTACCCAACGACGTGCCATCCGCCTTTTTAAGTCCTCCCTTAATTTCTAACACCACTCTGGACAGGTCTACGTAACAATTTTGACCTTCCGGCCACCTAAATTCAGCATAATTATCAGTAATTGACCCGTTTATCCCGGCATTAAATGGCAATACGTCTACTTCAGAACGTTCCTCTATCCCTGATTCTATCATGCGAATTCTATTTGCACGGGGAAACATATCGCTCACCCCGGCAACGTAAGATGAGAGCGGTGTCTTATACTGATTCATTGTTTTGTTTTTTTTCTATGGTATCGTCGTCTTTCTCGTTCAGTATTATTGCGCACGGCAACAAGGTTGGATTATAACTGGCTATGCCAGAGAAAAGACATCATTTTTATAGTTCGAACAACTCGGTCGGATCTTTAATCTCTTAACTCTTTTTCTGTGCACTCTCCTTCCTCCCCCTCTCATCGCTCTAGCTCCGACCTGTTTGACGGCCTCCACACCTCTTCTTTTCATAGAAGACTTTAGACCGGTCTTTCCCTCTCTCAGATCGTCAATAACACCCGATCCAAAATCAAGGAGCGCGGGCTTAACAAGTTTAGAAACAAAGGGAATTAACCTCTTGCCTATACTGCCCAGAAAGGAAAACAATCCCGCTCCTCGTCGATAATGATCATATGTGTTATATATGCCAATATCTCCTAAAGCCCCTCCTCGAGCGGGTTTAAGCAACACATCTTGGCGTTCAAAAATCGTTCTAAACTCGTCCGCTGTCGGAGGGACGAAAGGTGTTCTAACATACATAATGAGTACTGTTCTCTCTTTATCTTATAATCAACCAGGACAGAACGACGTTCCGTTGTAGAATAAGCAAAAAAGCGAACGTTCTGCGTTTATATATGCACGACCTAGCGAGGTCTAATGTGCAATATAAGCGTAACAGAATGACCTTCCTCGAAAATTAAAGGATATCCGTTCTGATCTGCAATTCGCACGCCCACAGAATGTACGTTCTTGTTTAAAAGTTGTTTATAGATTATAGGTGTACTCCCCTTCGCACTCAATCCCTGCCAAGCAAAAGCATCAAGAATATTAACCTGCTGCCCGGCAAATCGAGAAGGAACAACAATATCCGAATATATATAAATGAAATCCACACCACCGTCTGTTCTCGGTGACCTCGTGCTTATATTATCATTGTACGAATTCCATTTTTCCTGACCAGACGTTGGATATGGGACATAATAACGATAAAGCCTGCTTTCGTCAAATCCCAGCATGTGGCCCATGCGACGTGAAAAACGAATTCCCACATCGGGGGAGCAGCGCTCGTCTGTGCTCCCTCCCTCCGTGCGATATGTTGTTTCTAGCCGACACCGATCAATGTCCAAATCATAGACAAACAACCTTCCATTTGGCATATATTTCTTAACCGCATCCCTACCAAGCATCTCCTCCATCTGGTTAAATATATCATCATTTATCAAAGCAAGCATTGCTTTCTCGCCTTTCATCTGTCCTAACATGTTAAATTTCGGAACATACTTAAAAATGTTCTTTTCAACCGCATGCGGTTCTTTATCACATGTATAAACAAATTGAATAGCAAAATCAGCATCATTTGCCCTGATGCTGTAATAGTTTTTAGGGTGCAAAAAATTAATCAGCGCGACCTCATAATCCAAAGAAGGATCTAACATTAACGGAGATATAACATTTTCAAATGCGTGCGAGGTATTATGCGGAAACACATGTTTCGAAGCATTGCTCGTAATGTATACGTATTGGTTATCTGCCTCCATGACGGCGGTCGAGAACAGACTGTTAGCTCCTTTGCACATCTTTCATTTATATAAGAAAGGTGTAGATGTTAAAAAAAAGCGGTAATTCATTCAACTTAGTTTTATTAATGACAAAAAAAATGTAACAAGACATGACATAACAGACAATGGGAATAAAAAAAAATATATATATATATATTATTGACCATCGTCTTCAGCCTTCTGACGCTTCGTCGTCACCGCATCTGCAGGTGCACATCTCTTCCTGCCAACGATTCCAGCGTCGTCATCGTCGTCGCTATCTTCATCGCCGCCTTCGCCATCATTCTCTTCATCCTTGGTAGAACAGATGCCGGGTTCTGTCTGAACACGGGATTTGTGATTTAATAACACAACGGGAATTTTTAGAGGCATACAGCGAGCTGCAAAATTTTGGATGGGAACAACATATGATTGACTCCAACTTCCTCCTTCTTCTTCAACGGGGAATAAAATTTCATTAATGTTCATATCACTGAGCTGTGTAAACAAATAGTTTAGACACTCTCCAAGCTTTCTCACTCGATTATCTAACTTATCACTCGACAATCCAGTTACATAATGCCTGTCCGTGCTTGATCTTAATTGTTTCACGGCAATCTCATTGTATTCCAACGGTTTCCCAGGTCCGAAATGAGCAATCAGGTACACAATGGTGGGTCCGCAGTCACTTTGTCTCACTCTAACGGCGCCTGTTTGACATCGATCGGCTGTAATTGCTCTTGAAGTGGAGAACATTCGCCGTCTGCATCTATAGAGATCCGCATGCGCATATTCTCTTTCTAACACACCCGAAGTAGCATATGCGGTCTTCCCACAGGCATTAGCTATAACACAAACTGCAGTTTTCTGATTCAGCACCGGTTGGAGAACGCTGCCTTCGCGAAAAGTGAGAGGATATAGAAAGTCGGGAGGTTGTTCACCTGCGTTGTATGCGCCAGCCGATGTCACGGGGTGGACGTCCAGAATGTTGCGTATTTTCTCTTCCATCTTCGACGGTCGTTCGTTATCCATGTTCGTCCTCGGATCCATTTCGTGTTCGTCTGCTGCTGTTGCTGCGATGGTCGGCTGTTCTGTGCACCCTCACTGTGTCTCCGACCTCTCTTTATACCAAAAGTCTCTGCCCCTACCCCCTCTGCCTGTTCGCACATGTTTTTTTACCTGCGCAACCTGGTTACCAGTCGGTGTCCCATTTCAAAACCAATGCTTTGTCGATTGTATAGACTGGTAAGTTTACGATATTTAGCGATGATGCGAATTGTTTCTTCCTGCGATGAATGGCTCAGATCTTCAACTGCATCGTCGACTTCTTGTTGATAAGCTTGT